AATATTCCACAAGGCTCTAAAACCGAGGGAACATTTATAGAGGCAAGAGCCCTTCGGATGACATCGTTCAAAGAACTGTGTCGTGAAAACCTACCAGCGCTTTTCTTACATGAAAGTCCGTGGAGCCCAAACTTGTCGACGCTGCTACCACAGGGGCACTGATGGGGTTGACAAATCGCCGCTCCTAGTCGGATTCCTACGGCAATACGCAAGCTTTCCCTATCAAGTAATGTGCCGAGATTACTTGATGGTAAAGCGTGTAACCAGTGACTAGATTCCTTAGTCGAAACAGCTAGAAGGCGTGCCTTATCTTGGTCACTATGGAAATTATGAAACAAATCCTTCTGCACGCCCTGTACCAACGGAATATCCCACTGTTTTTGTTGGTTAACTTCCAGTGGAATATTTTCACCAGGACAGAGCGTTTGCCATGTCTGCCCTGCCTCCGTAGCAAAGCATAGGTCTATTTTATTATTTAAAATTATGTTACATAAGTCACTGACACTATGCACGGAAGCAAGGAAAGCAGGCTATGCAACGCTAGAAAGATTTCTCACACCAATGCCACCAAATTTTATAGGTAAAGTAGCTTGAGCCCAGGCTGTTGTATTTAAAGTTAAATTTAGAATTTTTTCTATAGCAATTTTAAGATTATTATCAATATCTTGTAAAATATCCGAACATTTCCAGACTGGACTAGAGCGGAGTAAGTATGTAAATCTAGGTACAAGAAGAAGAAGTTTAAGAAGTTTAAGTACTGTTTAATGGTATGGGGAACGTATGGGCTTGTACTATTGTTTTTATTCTATGGTATGGGTTAGGTACCTAATTACATTGTTTTAATTGGAAAAATTAATAAGGATAGTACACATATAATTTTATAAATCTTTCTTTAGGACGAGATAAATAAAGGAACGAAATTGTATCTCTAATATAATTAGCTTTTATCGTTCTGAAATTACTTCATTTGAATCTAAATAGGTAGGTATATCGAAGAAAGCTATTTACTCCTGTTTTTAAGACTTTGATGCACCTTATTTTAACATGTCTAACAATAGCTCTTACAACATTCCTTCTAGACACTATTCACTTGCTTGGCTTTTAGATTTCCCCTTTCGCACTTTTTTGGCGTTTTAGGTGCCACACAAAGACATTAAAATATTTACGAGGTGGCGCAACATTTTGGTTGTACCGGTTTATATCTACAGTTCATCAGTACCGCCTTTAAAATCACAACTTTTCCCATCTGTATTTTCTAAAGCTATTTGTAATTTGTTTAGCCGCTCCATCCCGAGAATCCATTTTCTTAATCCAACAAGCACCTCGTGTCGAACAATAACAACAAACAATAATTTTATGTTAGGTTTTGTATGTGTATCTTTGTCTTTTTTGATGATTTGTCATGGAAAAATTTTCAGCGAGGCTCCCTAGCCGCATCATTTCATCATTTACTATCACCAACTCACAATTTCCGTTGCGGTACACATCGTGTTAATAGAGAGATATTTATTTTTAAAGTTACATGGGGGGTTACAAGGTTACAAGTTACGTGCTGAAAGCGTTTGGTTGGCAGGGCCACATTTGATTGGATTTTTCTACAAAAACAGAGTTACATTGAAAAATAAGCGGTACAAATACTCCTACAGGTGAGTACATTGGATTAGTAGTGCACATCTCAATCTCGGACTTTATCGCGTTTAGTTTAACTTCTTAATTACCGCGCTTTGTGGTATTTAGTGGGAGCCTCAGGAGTGGAATTGTGATGCGCTGTAATGATGATGTTGTTATAAAAAACATAATAAATAATATTACTATATTATACCGTTAAACGTTAAATGAATTTAATTTTACGGATTTTATCGCGTTCAGTTCACTTTTTAATCTCCGACATGTCGGGTGCTTGGGGGGATACTGTATAATTTTTTTCATTTAATGTAGAATGTTAGCTTAAATATAAGAAATCATTGTATTATATCGTATATAAATTGTCTGTGTATTACAATTAATAATTAAAATATTTTATTTTTATAATTGCTTGAAAAATGGAAAATGAAAAGTGAAAAATAGTTTATTTCTTTAGATACTATCCACACTGTCTGGGTGCTTGGCGGTTCACTAGTTCACTTCTGTGCGATTTACTTGAAGTTTTCTTCTTCGCATGATTCTTTTGTTGAATCGTTCTCAGCTGGCGCTTTTTCTGGAACGATACAACTTAGGGACCTTAAAGAAACGATCTTACTCATTTTTAGAAGGCCGGCAACGCACCTGCAATTTCCCTGGTGTTGCAGTTGTTCATGGGCGGCGGTCGACATTTACAATCAGTTGAGCCGCATGCACGTATGCAGGGGGCATATAAATATATGCCCTACATATAGGGCTACTATAAAAAATGTAATATACAAGGAATTAAGATCATGTACAGTTTAGTAGAGATGACATGAATTGGAAAAAAATAAAATAAAAAAGGATAAAAACATAGAGAAATATTTATTTGCGAATTCACAAAATTTCTATTTTTATTTAAACAACATCTCTATTGTTCTTTTTCTACAATTATGGCTAATTTATAAATAATAGTAATAAATGCATTTATTTTGAAAGTTAACACTATTTACAATTTGAAAATAACTTATTAAATAAAATAATTTATGGACGGAATCAATAAAATGTTTATAAAAATAATGAAGACTTGTGACTATCATACTTATCATCCATCACAAGCTTTCTATGTTGGATATAAAAATCAAATCTAATTTGTTATTTAATTAGATAGGACAATTAAAGTATCCTTGAATAAATTCGATAATCGTTCATAATAAATGAACATTTTGGCGAACAAACGTTAATAAATATTGTTAATAAATATTATCTAACCTTCTTACAAATATTTCGATAAGAGTAAGCCTTATTAATAAATAAAGCTTATGTAAATCAAAATCCGAGTCTAGTAAATTCAATGCTAAATTATTTATCGTTTTAAAAATTTCGTATAGAAAATAGCTCACATATTAAAATTATTCATTGTATTGCGTTTTTTTTTCATATTCCAATTCCAAGCTAATGCTTGACTACTATCGCACCTGATGGATGATGTCTTGCGATCAGAAAATATTATATGCAATATTCTGATCGCAATTATGCATGTTTCGTAGATATAAACAGGAAATCCAAATTTTTTTGACATTTTAAGTATAATATCTAGTCATATCATTTATAAATTCTATATCGTTAGTAAGTTACTTTTGTTCACAGGTTTCATTAGCTGCGTTTGGCAATAAGCTTTAGACTTTTAAAATATCAATCGTCAACCCTCATATAGTTCCCACATTAACTTTTTACATAATGCAACAAAATTTTTTGAAATTGCTGAAACAATTATTACTGTATAATTTTAATTAAAATTGAACTAGTATTGTACCGTGCAATCAGAATCAATAGTTTACCAAAAACCATTGATTCTGATTATAAACTAAATTTATTACAAAATAATTGAGATAAAAGTGTCGACTCTGACAATTATTTTGTGATGCTAAAGTTATAAAAAGTTTTGCAACTTCTTCGAATAAAAGATATACAGTTGCAGTATGAAAAGCAGTATTTTTTTACATTACATTACATCATATTTAATGAATTATACTGTAGATATATTGGATATAGGTTAGCAAACACGATACTTTCGTATATCATGCGATTCTACACAATTTGTAGATTGCAAGATGTAGCAAATATTTCAATTCGACTTTTATTTTTAATGCCACAGCAGATGTTATTACCCACCTTTAAGAAATATATGATGTGTAATTTCTTAAACGGATTTTAAAGTTTTTTTTACAACTACTTGGATTATATGATTTCTTTTAAAAACTACCAGCAGTAGGGACCTGCAGTTTATTAAAGTAATGGTAGTGATGGTAATTTTGTAAATTAAATTAGATTATTTCTGATAAATCGTAATTATGAAATTTGTTGTTCTGCAACTGCACTGTTTGTATATTATTAAAGAATCTCCTACGTCTATACATATAACGCGATATTAACAACGTGGTAGATTCACGTTATAGCTGTATTATGGCTGCAGCGCGAACTAACGTCCGGGGAAAGTCCATGCTCTCACAATACCAGCGTAAAATAGTAGCGTAATACAGCTGTGTTTTGTATGGTGAGTGTAGATAACCGGTGACCCTTACTGGTTATGAAACATATTATCTTAGCTATCAGAGGTGACAACGCATTTATATTTTGGTTCTTGATCGAGGATAGATGTAGATGTCACATCATTGTCACCCTTATACTATAACAATATAAATTGTAGAGGAAGAGGAGCACATACCTTCACGAAAAGCTACATACCTATAAGGATCGACAAATCAGTTCTCTGATGATAGTAGCAGAATTGAAATCGAAACAATAATAAGAACCGTTTGGAAGCTTACAGCTGAATTTAACCAGTACACTATCTGCTATCTCTATATATAAAAATCAATTGCTGTACGTTAGTCTCGCTAAAACTCAAAAATGGCTCAAACGATTTAGAGAAACTTTTTATGAAATTTTTTGTGTTTGAATGGGTCCCTAGATGGTTTAGATTCTTTTGGACGCGGTAGGTGACGCTGTTATCGAGATACAGAAATCATCCGTGCGAAGACGCGACGGATCATATAAAATAATATTTAAGATTAATTAATGACATATTAACCGAAAATCATACATTTCCTTGTTATATGTAATAAGGTACATTGTTCTGTAAACCTGAAAAGTTCTGGTATTTTGGAATAGAAAAGTATAGAAAAATACCTACTGTCATTATTAGAACCTAAATTGACCGTTGATTTTATTATTATACTTGCTTTTAAAAAAAATACGCGTCCTCCTCGTGAGTAGCAAAAGATGCCGTAAAAACAGCACTTAATTACACCAGAACTTAAATTTAAACAGTACTTCCAATTCTGGTGTGTGAGCAGTCACAATGCAAAGATTAAGTAAATGAGTCGATGAATGTTCTAGAACTGCAGTATCTGGTTGATCCAGTCACGGAAGGCGGAGATGCGCGTGTAGACGCCGGGCTGGTTGGGCTCCGCGCAGCCGATGCCCCACGAGATGATGCCGCCCAGCACGAAGCGGTCGTCGCGCTCCCGCTGCACCACCATCGGACCCCCGCTGTCGCCTGGTAACGTTCACACTTCATTTGTAGACGCCAATGGAATTTGTACTTATTTTAAATTTCATTATTGATTACAGCACATCAAAGTCCACTGCTGAACCATCTCTCAAGTATATTGCCTCGTGGAGGGGGAGGGGGGGGGGGGGAGATTTTACCATTATAAAACTTGGCAGGCGAGTTGGCTACCGTAAGCGACCGTCTCGTTGATTGAAATTAATAGAGTGATAGCAAAGGAAAAAAAGAGGTGCGAGAAAACAGACCTTCACAACTGTCCGCACCACCCGACCTCCAGCCCGCGCAGATGAAGATATTGGGAATGTGCTCCGTGTATCCGGCAGCTTGGTACATCGCTTCGCACGCGGTGTTGTTGATCACCGGTACTTGCACTTCTTGCAGTACGGTAGGCAACGGACCCTCTGAGAAGATTACAGATAAAAAACAGTTAAGCAGTTGTGGTGTTAAAGACTATGTTAAGCTATTTAATAATATTAGAAAGATATTAATTCTAATCATGGTGGTATGAAACTCATTGAAACAATAAAGCGACACTAAAAAGAGATAAATATATATATCATATCTATAGGATAGGCCTACGAGAGAATGAGATAGAATCTACTGCTAATATAATAAGCGGAGGAGGTTTTTTTTTGTTTACGCTAATCTCTGGAACCACCAGTCCGATTTGATAAAATTAAATATGGATTTGTGTTGAGCAAGTCGGAAGAAAAGGCGCTCCCGAACTTCTTAATCTACGTGCGCTGTCGTAAAGGTTAGTGATACGTAAATACAATGTTCTACAAAAATATAGATCTTTCCTCCATCTAAAAAAGTCCGGGATACCATAGGTATATTTCTTATATATAAACAACAATAATGTATTTTGTGACAAAAAATATTGGACATTAAAAAGTGATTTATGAGCATTATTAATTATGGCATGTTAATCCTTACGAATGAAAGTTACTTCATCATGAAGACAATTTTATGAAGATAAACTTTGCTCTTTATAGCATATTATTTGGATGCATAGTTTAAAAGATAATGAAAAATTAAAATAATTCAACACCCGCCCGACGCGCGAATGACGCTTCTATAAGCGAGGTATCATGACGCGCTGCTCAGAGCGTGATATACTCGTATGTACGCGGGCACGGATTAAAAAATGTTACTACGTAAACGCGGGTGATACTGCGGGGAACAGCTAGTTCAGTATAAAGTGTTTCAACTTATTATCTCAGTCTCCTCTGTGTGCGGTGCTTTAAAGCTGGTTAATATAACTTTTAACTGTTAAAATAAAGAATAAAAAAATTACGAATTTATTATTAAACTAGCTATTCCTAAACTAGCGACTTCATCGGCGTGAAATTTGTTACTTGGATTTTATGGGTTTTAATTTTTTTTGCGCGGAACCCTAATTCCTTTTCTAGAATAAAAGTAGCCTAAGTTACTCCTTATAATATCAGCTATCTGTCAGTGAAAGTCCTGTCAAAATCCGTCCAGCCGTTTCAGAGATTAGCCGGAACTAACAGACAGACAAAAATTACAAAAGTGTATTTTTGTTATAAGTACCGTTTATACTTTCATATGCATTATTTTAGTAAAACACTGTAATTTTGACATTACAATTTCATTTATTTGTATAGATAAAGGGACTACATATTTTAATCAAAATAATAAAAAGGATATAGGAGCTTCTAATATTTACTAAAATCTAAGATTCACTTTTATATCTGTTTGTGTGTAGTTTTGATTAAGAATTTTAGTAGGTGATCCAGTCATATATTTATTGGGATAGTGTGAATATGAAATGAAGACTTATTACAGTATCCATTACAGCTTATAAAAGACCACTGCTAAACATAGGCCTCCACTACAAATTGTCTCATATGATTTTGCTATAGTTTGCAACGATTGGCAGGCCGGTTAGCAACCGCAGTTTTTTATTGTTTCGAGTTGTTATCAGGTAGATGTCGCTGCCCATCTCCCGCTTTAGTTAACCTCTGTCGTCTTTTATACCTACGGAACGATTTGGGGTAGTGGGCATTTTTATACTGCCACTACACAGTTTAATCGCTACACCGATGTTTATTACAGTATACATGAAGCGATCGATGTTCAAAAAATTTGGAACACTTAGATTTCTTTACTAAAGCTTTGATAATAATATACTGACCATCGTAGAGCCTGCCCCAACCGGTGACGTATGCAGTCTTGCCCACGTAGTCATCGTCGTTGTCCGGCACGCATACCGGCAGAATATTCGGCTGGAACGTCACGGGTTCGTAGAACCTACGTATGTTTAATGATATATAATATTAATAATGGTTTTTACAATAAATGTATTATATAAAAATACACACTCGTTACTTTGTCATCTATTAAAATATCATTACGCAACACCTTAGACTCGCTGGAGTGAGTACCTTGGCCTATGCGAGCATCGCATCGCTAAAAATGGCAATGAAGTAATGTCATACTTCCCAGTATTATGTTGAAACTCTTTAATGTTTTTATCTTTAACCCGCCACAATATTGGGTGAAAATTACTTTCGGTGTAATTAACTTATATCAGCCGATACATTTGGCGAATGTCCACGGATAATACGACTTCATGTAATCTAAAGTGGACAATTATGTATCTTCTGTCTCTTGTTGAAGTTTACTATTACAGCTTATTGAAGTCAGCTACTCTTAGATTGCCTCATTTTTTTCACATTGATGTTTGGGCTTAGCTAATACTATATAATTTAAAGAGTTTCCTGTGCTACATTTTGTACGTGGTAGAGCCATGCTGCAGCTATATTAACAGTATAGTTGTAGCACGAATGGGTCGGCTCGACCGGGGAAGGACCACGCTCTCAACAGAATACCAGCGTAAAATAGCAGCTTAATACTGCTGTGTTTCGTATGGTGAGTGTAGAGAACAGGAGATCCTTTTTATTGGAAAAGAGGCATTCCATCTTAGTCCTCACAACGCATCTGCATTTTGATTCTTTATTGAGGATAAATGTGGATGTCTATGGGTAACAGCAACCACTTACCATCAGGTGGAATGTGTGCTCGTTTGTCACCCTATCCTATAAAAAAAATACAAGGCTACATAAATGTTCTGCGCGCGGGTTATTTTGTTTTCGCTTATTTACTCGTATACCTATGTTATTTGAATATATACTGTACAGTGTACAATATATAACGTTTGGTGTCCGAATCAAACAATAATCATTATCATTTTTGTTTAGATTTGATTAAATTATTTAAAAAAAAAACCCTCCCAAGTTTCGCACGCGCTTGATGCTAGGTAATATCAGTGAACAGGCAACAATCCTACACGGTCTTATTACAAAAAGTGGTTTATAATTAATTAGTCTCAGGTTTAAACAATAAACCTGTTTTGTAATATATAATAAGGCAGTAAATATTTATCGCGATATTCTTCACACAAAAAACCTAGTTATTCTAGTGTTCACCTTGAAATGTTACATATCTACTTGTTGAACAAAGTAAGTAATAAATATGTACATACGAAGACGATCTGCGGTATTCTATGATTATATTTGATCCTTTTGCGTACCTTCCTAAATACAATGCGTCACTAAAGGATATTTGTTTATGGATACGCATAGCTTTAATAGTTAGCTTTGCTATAAATAGCTTACCTATGATGGAAAAACGACATTCTTTTGTGAATATATTTAAACTAACACAACCGCTGTTCATTTCTTTAATTTGGTATAAACATATGAGATCTCATTTATGGATACCAAGCCAGCCAGACGTATACACAGATAACTAAGGCTATTTTAGATAATAAAGAAGCAATACCCGTTCATATTTTTTAATCTTTTCTTTTTTAGCTTTTGTTTTAATAACGTTTCCTATAAAAATTATATTAAAAAATAAAACTATTTCTTTATCTTTCTTTCTTTATTATTCTAATAAAATATAAGTCGTATTTCAGAAAGAAACACTAACCCTTACATTTTTCTAACAATTAACTTCTTCGTCATGCAATCTGTCAAATATTTCAGCTCATTTCTAAGTAGCGCTGCGCCGCCCTTGTAGCAGAAAAGGTAATGGACGTCCTCATTGTGCAGGCCATTATAGTGCCACAATAATGTATACCTACGCGCTCTGAGATATTCCTTCTATCTTAGTAAAACTGAAAGTCTGTAAATTGGTCTTTACTCTTTACAAACCAAATTCTGAAAGATAAGAAAGTTACGCCACATAGCATACGTAGCAATTTTAGCGCTTTTGAGATAATATCAGAGGTAGGTTCATCTGTTTCATCTGTCACAAAGAAATATCCTATCCTATTCCTATTTTCTTTATCCTTTTATCTATTTTCATACTAGAATAAAGTTATTATTTTATTTTATATTTTTTTTTATTTATATTGTAATCGGTCCTTGATACGAGTGTAAATTTTCGAGTCAATCGGCCGTCTACAAGTTGGTGAAAATTACATTAAAATATTACGTTATACAGATACTCGTAGATAGAAACACGCGAAGCTAATAAAAAATGTGTGTATTTTTCACAAATGTTGGCTCTGATTACGAGCATATATATAGCTCCGATACATCGGAGAGGAGTGAGAGGACCTGGCACGTACTCGTAGTAGTCAAGTATTTTGAACACTTACCCTATACGGTTGACAAAGAATGAAAATAGTGTACTATTTCAGGAGAATATTGCTTAATGTATTATAATGTTTAAGGCATATTATAGCCTAAGGGCTTTTCATACAAAAAACAATACATTAAGCAATATTCTCGTCAATACAGTAGTTATAGCTTTTTTGTTTTTATAGGAAAGGGGGCAAACAAGCATGCATTTCACCTGTCAAGTGACTACCCCCGCCCATGAACAACTGCAAGACCAGGGGAATTGCAGATGCGTTGCCGGCCTTTTAAAAATGAGTAGGCTCTTTTCTTGAAGGTCCCTAAGTCGTATCGATCCGAAAATCCGCTGGTGGTAATCGATTCCACAAGGATGTTGTGCGAGGAAGAAAACATCTTCTAAATCGCACAGTGGTGGACCGCCAATCATCCAGATGGTACGGATGGTATCCAGAGTTTTGTCACGATGTGCGATGGTAAAATTGAGCGGCTGGAATTAATCCGAACAATTCCTCAGAGCACTTCCCGTGGTAGATGCGATAAAATACGTAAAGAGCAGCATTTTCGGACAGATTCGAACCGCTCTGCGCTAGATGCGGTCAAGTGGAAGGAGCTGGCACTGGGGAGCCCATTGCCCAGAGATGGGAACAGTATTCTATGTGAGGCCGAACCTGCGCCTTCTAAAGATGCAAGCGATGTGCTGGCGTGAAATACTGTCCCGCTCTGCTGAGCACGCCATGCGTTTTAGAGACCAATTTGGCCTTCTCTTCCAAGTGACAACGAAACTGCACATCACTCGATATGTCGACACCGAGGATTCCGATACTGGCTGAGGCAACTAGAGGAGTGCCTTGAAACTGAGGAGATACGACAAAGGGGTTCTTTTTAGCGGTAAACGCGCAAACTTGTGTCTTCTGAGGATTAAACTGGACTAGATTTAGTCGCCTCCAATCCGAGTCTTTGTTCAGCAAAGACTCGAATTCAGACATAAGTTAGTTCCGGTACTCGGCGACGTTTTCCCGAGAAATATTAGCACCCATAAGAAGGAAGCTTCGAAAGAAGCGCTTTTTGCCAGACCCGATCGAAAGCATTCGTTATGTCCAAACTAACGACCAATGCCTCCCCCTAGAACTTGATCGCCTGCGCCCAGCTATGTGTTAGGTAAACAAGAATATCACCAGCCGAGCGACCCCGGCGGAAACCGTACTAGCGGTCACTAATCAGCTGGTGCTCCTCAAGGTACTTCATGAGCTGGCACTTAATAATGGACCTAATTATTTTCGAGAACAAGGAGGTGATGACAATAGGCCTGCAATTGGACGGATCAGAGCGACTACCTTTTTTAGGGATCGGGTGCACGAAAGCTGTTTTCCATGATTTCGGGACTACGCCCAGGGAGTAGAAGTACCGGAAAAGATGCGTTAGAACCTCAAGCACAATTGGCGGGATTCCGTCAGGCCCACTGATATTGTGGATGTCCAGGCAGAGGAGTGCATTGCGGACTGAGCACTGTGTGAATCGCACATCAGGCATAGCGTACATACCCCACACTGTGGGGTGGTCGGCGATGTGTTCCCCCGTCATCGAGAGCCGAGTTGAACGAAAAAAGGGAGCCCAAAGGTCGGATTTCTCTTTTGCGGCGTGGGCCAGTGAGTAGTCCTCCCTGTGAAGAGATGGTAGTGATGGCTTTCAGAAATTCCCTTGAACAGCCTTGGCGAGAGACCAGAATGCACGGGTTCCCGAGGGAAGGCGGACTAATTTCTCGACAATTCTGCCAATGTGCTCGTACTTTGCCTTGGCAATAACTCTTTTAAAACACCTGGAGGTGAAGTTATACTTCTTTTTAAGCATGTTGGTGTTTACATCCCGAGCCGCCGAAGCCTCAGCCCAGGCCTGATAACACTCCTGTTTACTGCGTAATGCAATCTTACAGGAGAGACCAAACCAAGGCTGAGATCTGCTTCCGATGGGTACCACAAATGATGGAATAAATAGTTCCATTCCCTGTAGCACCACATCAGTGACAGAGTCAGCAACAGCGCTCGGATCATCCGGCGAAAAACAAACTCGCTCCATGGGTGGAATGCAAAGAAAAACCGCATTCCGTCCCAATCCGCTGACCTGTAATGCCAAACATGACGGCAGTCTGCAGAACGCAACCGTAAGGGGAGCGTGAGTGGCACCACACTCCAGATCAGACAAAGCCGTGAGGGCCATCGATGGAAACCTGATATCCGTCCGGAAGAGAGGTCAGCAGATGGTCCAACAGGGAAGGTGTATGATCCTCCACATCCGGAATCCGAGTAGGCAAAGTAAATTTTTCTCTCCCTTTCCAACAATTTGAAAACGTTGTCTAATAGTGGAAATATTCCAGGCATTCAAACTTAATGGCTTCCTTAGTCATTCGTAATTCGTACACAGTACAGCAAAGGAGTAGAATAATTTTCAAGCGTATATCTTTTTGTCCGATGACAACCTAATATTCAAGGCGAGAGTGAATGGGCTTTTTAACTGACATAAAAAGGAGGAGGTACTCAATCCGACTGTATGTTTTTTTAAGTGTGTTACCTCATAACATTTTCTCGGCGAACCGATTTCGATCATTCTTTTGAAAGCTGGTGCTTCTCATGTGGTCCCATATAAATTTCATCAAGGTCTGACCAGTAGTTTTTGAGTTATCATCAATAGTTTATATTGAAGTCTGTTGTACAATTTTTTTTATTTTATTACTTGTGATATGCTTACACGTTACAACTAGGGCTTCATGAACATTTACCATCAGATGTGATTGAAGTCAAGCATTGGCAATAATAAATAAAACAAACTGGTGTTTGTCTTTATAACTATGGCACCTACAAACTGTTAAAATTAAGGCACATATATGAAAAAACTTTTCATAAATATTTAGTTTTTTAAGTTTTAATTGCGTTTTATAATAATTGTAAATGTGATAACATGATATAAACGAATACAATGGATGAGTTTTCTCAGCTTGTAGGAGTTGCGATGCAAAAACTTTTAAGAAACAAATCAACACAAACACGTAATCAATTCATAATAAAGAAACTCAGCAGGGTGATTCACTTTTATGAAAAGTATGTGTTAATATAATAACAAGTCTTTGAAAAATTACCTAAGCAGTGCTAGGTCGTACTCGAAAGTGTTTCGGTCGAAATGCGGATGGCTGGCTACAATCTGTACACGCCGCTCAGCGAAACCGTAGGGTTCGTCCTCAGTCGCCAGGTCGTGTTCGCCGAGACGAACTAGTAGCTCTGAAGGCGGTACACTAGAAAGAAAATAAATTTATAATAATGTATCTATGACGAAATAAGTAAAATTTTCTCTAAGTGCTAACTAACACAAGGTTCTGGCGAACGACAAATGTCGACATATTAATTCGGAAACACCGATCCTAGATAACACAGACTGACGACATCAGTGTGATTTATTAATACTTATAGTCTTTCTTACACGAATTAGAATAAAAGTTAAAGTTAGAGTCTACATACGTCCCATTGCTAGTCATAGGCCTCCTCTCATTTCTGAGAGGGTTTTAGGCAAGGAAATGTCCGCCGCGCTCCCCCAATGCGTATTCGCGAACTTCACATGTAATAAATATTTTTTTAGAAATATATTTTTTCCTTATTTCTCAGACATGCAGAGTTCCTCATGATATTTTCCTTCACCGCTGAGCACGTCAGCGCATGAAATTGCAATTTACAATTTCATTAGTGCCGGCGAGGATCGAACCCGGGTTGCGCGCGTACTGTGAATGTAATTCGTTGGACAACTTAGAGCCGTGGTAGCTTATGGGCTAAGCTCACAGTACTCGAGCAACCCGCGTTCAATCCTCACCGGCACCAATGAAACTATCAAAAATGAGAGAAGGCCTGTGCCCAGCTTTGGGACATAAAAGGCTGTAACTTTACTTTAAATAGACAAATATAATTTAACTTCGACTTCGAGTATATAGTAAAGTATATAAACTAAAATTGGTACACACAAACTAATTTAAAAATATGTTCTTCTTTTAAAAAAGACTAAAATAACATTTTACCTGTTCCTTTAGTTTGACTTTGAATGTTTTTACACGCCATTGGTAAGGCATCTGAACCTTATCATAAATTTCTTCGTAAAATTTTAAGAGATAAGATATGTAATGACAAAATAATGCACCTTTATGTCAACTGTCATGTTTATTGTGAAAAAATGCTTAAATGTTTGGTTTTATAACATACATGTGTTTGTGTACTTTTGGTGTCGTCGTTATCAATTTATAATTTGGATATTATCAAGCACATTGTATATTATAATATATTCGTAGAAAATGAGAATTCCAAACAATTTTTTTTTTAGAAATGGAGTAATATGGGATTTATATAAAGTACCGAAAACAAAACTAATTACAATCACCTTTTAAGTTTTTCTAACTAACAACTATGTGTTGAATATATTATATTGTTAGGAAGTGATAAGGGTGGTTCGTCAGTCAGACAAGCTAGTTAATTGCACACTAGTTTGTGGTTTAATTAGGGATTGATTATATTAGTGTTACCAGACCCAGTGGGTCATATATCGGGCGGAAGGTAAAAATAATTGAGAATTTGGTTTACAGATCTAAAAAAAATATTTTTTTTGGGACTGAGCTAATGAACGAATAAGTTATCGTCCAAACATCGGAAAAACTGGATATGTACGTCCCGCGCAAATCGAGCACCTGGTAACACTAGATGATATACATTAAAGACACTCGATGTAAAGCAACAATGCATCGAATACAACCGATGTATTGTTGACGCCTCAATATATTCGATGTGTCGATGTTTTATCGAATGGGTAAACCTAATTATATTTTTTGTAAATTTGTTTTTAACTTTGTTGTTAATGATTGTCATAGGGTTAGTTAGTAGCTTTAGAAAATCTTCTTTAATTATAATCTTGTTTAATTATACCATAAGACGACATATGTCTAAATATATCGTGATCTAAGTCTTAATATCCAGATATAAGAGAAAGGAAAAGAAAACCGAAGTTGTTTCGCAGTGGAATGCACTATCTACAGAAATAGCAATATTCGTGCTAGTAGTAGATATAAAGTTGCTTTTTCTTTACGTACTTTCAACTTATCAAGGTCAATGTCCTATATGCGAAACTAATAAATATAAACTATTCCTAAGCTTTTATTTTTTATTAAATGTTGATTTAAAAATAAATTATTTTAAAATAAGAACAAAGGACATCAATTTCATTGTGGAGGCTATAAAAGAGGGCATTACCCTGCAATTTAAAAAGTATCGGCCACTGATATAAACATGTGAATGAATAATTTATAACACACAACCAAACGGGACACTGCAATTATTTTGTTTTGAGATTTATTATTAATGTTGAATTATAAAATGTTGAATATTGAATTATCATTGATCATTAAAATGTGGGAGAAAATGGTCATCATCATAATTACAGCCATTTACAAGTCCACTACTGATCGAAGGTTTTAAGGAATGCCACAAAGTATAGCTCACATGAAACTATTTATGTTAGGAAAAATCAAAATATTAACTAACAAAATAATAAAAAATCAAAATATTAATTAATAACAAAGCAAAAGTGCAAAGAAATTTTGTCGATTTTTCCTCTTGTTAAAAGGCGTTTATGTCCAATATTCAACCTTATTTTACGGTTTTGAGGGTTTGAAAAGTTTGATTCCAACGTTTTTAAAAAGATGAATATGATTGTGTCATCATCATTCATCATCATTACATCCCATCACAAGTCCACTACTGAACATAGGCCTCCCCCAAAGAATGCCACAAAGCACGGTCCTGAGCCACCTGCATCCATCGACTTCCTGCATGTCTTACCAGGTCATCACTCCATCTAGTGGAGGGACGCCGTACACTTCGTCCGCCAGTACGAGGCCGCCGCTCGAGTACGTTTTTTCTCCATTGGTTGTCGGTTCTTCGAGCTAATATGGCCGGTCTTTGCCACTTCAGCTTACTAATCCGTTGGGCTATGTCTGTTACTCTGGTTCTACTGCGGATATCCTCATTTCTAAGTTTATCACGTAAAGAAACTCCGAGCATAGCCCTCTCCATAGCAACAACTACCGGAATAGGTGTGACATGGACGTTATTCATGATTTTTGTATTGTCCGTGTTCATCTTAAGAGCTATCCGCTGGGAAACACTATAGAGGTCATTGAATATAGTGCTCAGGTCCTCCAGCGATTCTGCCATAAGGACTATATCGTCGGCAAATCGAAGGTGAGTAATGCACTCGCCGTTGATGTTAATACCGTAACCTTTCCAGTCCAGAAGCTTGAAAACGTCTTCCAATGCAGCGATGAAGAGTTTCAGAGATATAACGTCACCCTGTCTTACACCTCTCTGCAGTAGGACAGGTTTCATTCTCTAGTTCTGTACTGGGATAGCCATCGTAGCCCTACTATACATACACTTCAGCATGAATGTGTATAGTGCTGTTATAGCCTGTCCACTGCTGAACATAGGCCTCCCCCATAGATAGCCACATAATTAAAAGCTTTTCAGAAGTTCTTGAATAAACAAAATAAATGTTAGTCACTAAACAGGAAGTTACTCCATTAACTTCCTTTTCTCTCCATTACAATTTTATACGTGGTAGAGCCATACTGCAGCTATATTAGTAGTATAGTTGTAGCACGAATGGGTCGGCTCGACCGCGAAAGGACCACGCTCTCACAGAATACCAGCATAAAGTAGCAGCTTAACACTGTTGTGTTTCGTATGGTGAGGGTAGAGAACCGGAGCCCTTTTTACTCGAAAAGAGGCATTCCATCTTAGTCCTCACGGGTGACAACACAAACGAGGATAGATGTAGATGTCTATGGGCCACAGCAACCACTTGCCACCAGGTGGACTGTGTGCTCGTTTGTCACCCTACCCTATAAAAAAAATATTAAAATTGTAGGTAACTGAATAATAGTAATAGTTATTTGTATCTGTTTTGAAGCGACAGCAGCCTATGACACGAACCGCGAAATCAAAAGGTCGTGGGTTCAAACCCGCCATTCCATGAAATTTAATGAAATTCTTAATTCTATAATTGAAAGAACCACCCCTAACACAATCATTGAAGTATACCAGGAGTGGTTAAAGGGAATATTAGTAATGTTATTAGCATTGCTAGTATTTTGCTATGGCCCTATCTTCCGACAAAATTATGAACAAAATACGAACAAATTATTATATTGTTTATAAGCACGTAAGCGAATCAAGGGTAATGTCTATTTGCATTACGACAAATAAGCGACTAATTTAAAATAAAGAAGCGAGTACTTCTTATTTTCCTTATGGAATTATCATTGTTAATCAGTTTCCTCAACTCCAGCTTAAGGTTTACTAGTGTTTTTATGTCTCGTTGCTCCACAGACAGGTTTGAGGTCGGCATGTATTTTTTGACTAGAGTTTGCTGGCGTTTCTTCTTGAAATATTTTTAATGTTATCTAGTCGGTTTTATCAATAGACTGTTATGAATGTTAATTATGTTTTTATTTGTATAAAAGCTTTATTATATATTATACTAGCTGACCAGGCAGACGTTATGCCCTCTCCGACAACCCTGTGTCCTATAAAATTCTTAAATTCGTAATAAAAACTATTGAGGGTCACTTATAGGGATAAAAACTATCCTATCTTTCGAGTTGGATCAAACTGCACACAGTGTGCAAAATTTCATTGCAATCAGTTTAATAGTTTAGGAGTTCATCGCGGACAAACAATGTGACACGTAATTTTTATATATAAAGATAAATTGAAAAAAATTGATAAAAAGAATTGTATATCGCAGTTCCAGACGTGTCGCACCTGTGGCGCTGCTTCCTGTCTTGTCTGGCGTAAACGAGATTGATATACCTCTATCCATCAAAGAAGTTTTCTGGCATTGTTAATAGTCTTTGTATAATTTCCACGGGGTGACATGGAGTTATGGATTATTTTACACCGCCACTATACGGCAAAGTCACCACATCACAAGACAATCAACCTTGCTATACCTAACTTGTTTATTTAATATTATAAAAACTTTATCCTAATACTAGAAATTTCTGCTCCATCTTGAAGGCATTTTTATTATAAATTATACAAAGACAAACAGTCAGATTGAGAAAAAATATTTGTAGACGTTACAAATACTTGTTCGGCGCAGGAATGAAACCCACGGTTACTTGCGCCGCAGCCAAAACGCCATTGGGCTACCGCGTTGTCAAAACATTTTTTTATTTAAACTTATTTGACTCTTAAACATTTTTATATCTCCATTTTATTGTTATATTATATACATATATATATATATATATATATATATATATATATATATATATATATATATATATATATATATATATATATACTAGCTCGCCAGGCAAACGTTGTTCTGCCCTTTCCAACGACCCTTCTTATATAGATCCTTAAATTCGCAATAAAAAAATTTGAGGGTCCTTTATCGGGATAAAAAATCCTATCTCTCAAATTGGACCAAAAAGTACACAGTGTGCAAAATTTCATTGAAATCAGTTCTGTAGTTTAGGAGTCTATCGCGGACAAGCAACGTGACACGTAATTTTTATATATAAAGATATATATAAATATATATAAATGAGAAGTTTATTTCGAATCGCTGACATACCTGGCATCTGCAAGGTTTAAATTATGACTATGAGGATCCTGAATATTAATTAGCAAGCAAGAGTTAAAAACATCTCGCATTCGAAGAAAATATTTTAAAGCGTCGCACTGTGGCCAATACCTTCGTAGAAACAGCAGCAGTTTGTGTCATAGCTTGTATTAAATTGAAATGTTTCATAAAGCTTTGTATATTCAAAGTGTCACTATGTGGTAGGTCTTTTTTTTCTGTACAATAGTCTGATGGATTAATTAGTAGCTTCTTACCTATTTCCTTGGGGCATTCTTAGTTTTTTGGGCTTTCTTCTTGGATCGTCCTCCTAGCCGATGATGTAATAGTGTCACAAGTATATGCGCTATCACCAAGGAGATCTGTTTTTTTTTTAATACGGTGAACCCTGAGGTGAATCCTCATGCATGCCCTCTACTAAGAGGGCAACGAATATGACACGAGATCGTTCGTGTCAATAGGTCACGAGATCTCCGTTTAGAAGGTAACTTATTTATTCTTTTTTTATGATAAGGGTGACAAACGGGCATACAGTCCACAAGATGGTAAGTGGTTACTATGACCCATAGATATCTACATCTGTCCTCGATTACGAATTAAAATGCAGATGCGTTGTCACCCGTAAGGACTAAGATGGAATGCCTCGTTTTTGATTAAAAGAGTCTCCGGTTCTCTACACTTATTATACGAAACACAGCAGCGTTGAGCTGCTATTTTACGCTGGTATTCTGTGAAAGCGTGGTCCTTCCTCTATCGAGGCGATTCATTCGTGCTACAACTATACTACTATAGCTATAGCACGGATCTACCACGTAAGTCCCCTCTATCTCTATATTTATTTATTTTTATAGGAGAGGGGGCAAACGAGCATGCGGCTCACCTGATGGTAAGTGACTACCGCCGCCCATGAACAACTGCAACACCAGGGGAATCGCAGATGCGTTGCCGGCCTTTAAAGTAGTAGTAAATCCCTATAACAGCACTATCTACCATCTGCACCCTCGGCGAGCTATCGTACGTTGATTTAAGACTGATTCGAAGATACAGACAACTAGCACAACTTTCGTGAATTGTAGTGGAGCCGTAGAAGAGAATACATCATCCCGTTTTATCCTGTGATTGGCGTAAGACGATTATGAGAAAGATCGGAAAAACTTAATGAGTCCAATAGATGCAAGAAGACAGTATACCATCTTTGATATGCCAAATGAAAAACACCCAGATCAACGGGAATAGTTAAAAGATAATCCTGGCGAGTTTTGCAAATCCTTCCTACAGTACAAATGTCAGCAGTGGACTGTAAGAAAGATAGAAATACAATGGTTTTAGATAAGAAATTAATTATAATATACGTGAAGTTAAAAGGTTTTAGTACTCACTGTTCAACGCAATGTGCAGCGGTGATTGCCCAGTTTTCATTCAAAAGTGCGGCGCCGCACTTATGAAGATACGTAGATGTCCTGTATTGGCGTAGCGATATCTGCCACGGCCATTGGCCGAAGCTCGACTTGGTGCCGCCAACGATGCGCCCCTGCGGCCAAAGCCGTCGCCCACACACTGCCAGCACCAGGAGAGTTGAGTTTATTATCATTGTTCAACACCACTCACTTACCACAACGATTGTCCAAAAATTCCAAACAAATACGTAATACTCCATATGTAGCTAAGTTTATATGACACGTGAAATTCATTATTATTATGAACGTTTTAACAATGTATTTCATCAACGTTAAACACTAATTATTTACAGAGGCAATTTATTTAAATGATTAATTTTGACCTCGTGCAATTTTAATTTATCATTATTATTATAACTAGATAATAATCACATATTAGAATTGTTTAGAATATTAAATACTACAAGTGTTTTGTTTATATAATAACACATGAGTTTAGTAATTGAGGCTTCGAAAGTACTGCAATCCATGGAATCTTTTTAGATTATATAAATATTTTTCTGACAGAGCATATAAAATATCACGAATTTTTAGTGCTGGCTTTGTCACTTTATTGTTCATATTTTTATTACGGATGCACTCATTTAGAAACCACAGATATTGCGGTATGTCCTTGTGTTCGCCTTGGCCGTGGCGTGCGACCACATCGCGCGCTATCTGACAACACTTTGTTTAAATTCTGAACTGAGTTGATTTTATTTTTTGTAGTTGTTGATACGCTCAGGAGCCTGAAGTCGTTTAGTCAGGGGCTTGGGAGTTCTTTGACCTACATGCGTCATTTATCCACGGGAACAGTCGAGTATTTTGCTTTTTGTCCAAAATAAGATCATTGCTCTAAATATAATACTAAAACGGTACAGCTTTTTATGGACAGCAATTTTAATGTTTAGTATTAAATCATTAACATATTGCAAAGATTCAAAACTATTAGATTTCATGAAATCCCGTCGAAACGATTTACATAAGGCTAATGTCAAAATATTTTCTTACATTTCCTGCCCATTCTACAAAATCATTTTGTTATGCACGTTTTCCATCTGTTTTTGACTGTGGAGAAACGTTTGCCATACCTAAGTATCTTTATTTACATGTATAAATAAACAAGTTATAAAATTTAAAGTTTTATCGTTTTAGATGTGGTCAATATGAGAGTTAAGCTACATACAATGCTATTCATTTCAGATCAGTTACTCCCTATTATGTCTTACAACTCATTTTGTTTATGACTGTACACGGAAATCAAGAGAGCCAAGGATGCGTTGACTCTATAGAAAATTGTTTTGTAACAAAGTCATTGGTAGCATGTATTGTTGTTTTTTGCAAACAATCGTTTTTAACTACTTTACATTTTTAACGATTACAATTAATTAAAATGTTTTTATTCAATGTTTGATTCAAAATCCATTAAGTGTCTTTGGTATATTACGTACTTAGTATTTGTTTTTATTGAGCAAATGAGGTGTAATTAAGCGATTTTGTTGTTATTGAGGTGCACGGAAGTAGCTTCATCGAGTGACGTACGGAAATCCTTTTTTAATTCCAGTGCACCCCGGGCTGCTATCTGCTAGTTTATCTTTAACAATTTGAATAGTTTTGCCTCCACGTTGGCGAACCTAAGCCTAAGGTGCACTATCGACACTTTAGGATAAGGAAATAAATTGTTTTTTGTATTGACATTTTTCAGTCAAAGATGTTTTTAGAGAAATTTGTGTGTTTTGGTTGACTTTTCGGAAATTTATTATATTAAAGATAGATGTGAAACTTTATTAGCTAAAATTCTTGTGACAAATAAAATGGTATGTATTATCTGGTTTGAGGCTTAGCGCTTAACATTTTTTTTTAAAAACGTCGAAAATCGACGATTGTGTGTGTTTCCTAGAAATGTTTTTGGGCACGGGTTTTTGGAGTAGTGGTGTAGTGACTGGGCACTAATTGTGCAATAGCTGGTGGGATAGGGAGGTGCTCTTCATCCTAGCTAATTAATTTGCACATCTTGAATAGGATTTTGAAAATAATATTTTAAATTTTATTTAATTAAAAAGCTAACCATCTCTATAATCAGACATGTTGATTGTTTCGGTGCTCAGCGTTGTCGAGGACGTCACATTGGGAGACGAAGTTGTAGTTTCTGAAATTGAAAACAAAACGAATATTACTAAAATACAACAAAGATGTTTATATATACATATACATATATATATATATATATATATATATATATATATATATATATATATATATATATATATATATATATATATATATTTCATTAAACATAATAAAATATATCCAGGATAGATACCGCGGTGACTCTGGATCATGCTCTGTAGGCAGTCTTTAGTCGTAACTTTGTAATATAGATAAGGTTCATTTAACATTTTATTTGTAGTAAGTAATAATATACAAATATTTTCTACAAATATTATTAACGAGCGATGCGATCATTATGGGCGATATTATATGAATTTAATGCTTGAATTGTTAAATTAATTAACAAATCGCAGTTTATATGATTTTTTCAAGTAAATATATCTTTACTTTATTCAGAGATATTGTAGACCTTGTTACCTTTTAGTAATGTAAAGTGAAGGCTTACCATTTTCAGACGGTTCAAGTGTGGTGACGTCTGTAGCGTAACTCGGCGAAGCTGTTGTTGTAGCATTTTCTGACGTCACGCTCAACGTAGGGCTAGGTACAGTTGGTGACAGTGTCACGTTTACAGTAAACTCCACAATTGGTGCTTCAGTTGTTGGCAAAGATGTAGGTGGAGTTACTGGCACTTTTGAGCTTTGTAGCGTTGAGGTTGTTGTTGATGTTGAAGTTGATGATTCTGTTGCCGACGGGATAGTTATAGTAATTGGTGATTGAGATAGACTAGGGGGGACGTATGCAGTTGTGTGCTGGGTTGTTGTTGATTCTGTGATGGGTGACGTTAATTCTGAGATAACAGATTGTGTAGGTGCAGTTTCTTGGATGATCGTAGTTATTTGTTCTGTAGTTGTTGTAGTGGTTGAAGGAGTGGGTGTAGTTGTTGTTGTAGTGGTAGTGGTAGTGGTTGTCGTTGGGATTATTTCGGTTGTTGACGAAGTTGTTGTGGTTGTTGTTGGGGTTGTTTTTGTGGTAGTTGGGGTTGATTTGGTTGTTGTTGGGGTTGTTATGGAAGCTGCTGTTGAAGTTGTTGTTGAAGTTGTTGTTGGACTCGAGGCTGTAGTCTCAGGCTTCGGCTGCATTGTTGATATTAGTACCCAGCCTTCCGGTGGAGTTATTGGGGACCATTCTTCTGAAACATATTTAAAAAATTACTTGTAATATGGCCGTTATTAATAAGATACAAATCAATTAAAATTTAACGGACATTACGGGAATTTTTGTAATTGCATGTTCAAATTTTATATAAAATTTATAATAAAATTAATATAATGTTCAATGTCTGTTAATATTTTCTAATGTCAATTTTAACAATTTATTAGTATCCAGGGGATTTGCAAGTGCTGAATAAGATTTATTTCCACACATCATTATCCTCAACCCTGCTATTGAGTTCAATAATTAATTATGCAAACAAGTTATGCTATCTAAAAAGGTAACATTGATATCTAATAACCTAGTGTCTGGCACCTGACTGATCTAGGGAAATCTACCCATACATTTTACACCCAAATTGCATAGAATGATAATGGGGAGCAGCATGACTAGAGATAGTACATTTTACTAATAATTACTTCATATTACAAAATTTACAACGACCAAGTTTTAGCGCTACTAATAATATATTTTTAAAGTAATTTTTTTCTCTGTCCGGGAAGAATCAAGAAGAAACACAGCAAAATCCAATCCTTATTCCAGTTTTATAGAATGAAAACGCTAACGCTTTTTTTACGATTTTTTACAGAAAAAATACTTCACTTATTCTATAATAAAAGCGTAAACATCACCCCAGTAATAAATTACTGACTTGATGGAGTCGAGTAACTGGTACTACTAGCTTGTGTCTGTTCCAAGTATTTACAGAATGAATGTCACTTATTTTTTCGTAAATGTATTGAGATGCCAAAAATTTATTCGCTTAATTTTTTGTCTGAGCGACTCTTTAGGTTCCTATCAGAGCCTATCAGAAGTCATAACATAAGATCTTTTTGGAATATCTCAAAGTCGTCGTTTACAAGCCGACTAATGTGTTGATGAATTCTCTTACAATACCACCACACGACAGACTTAATTCAGTAGAACCTTGATAACTTAAACCTCGACAATGTAATAACCACTATAAATTCATAAAATTTTGTGTTCCCTTCCTCTAGGAGTCCAAAACCGCTTTTACTTAAAATACAAACCCTCTATAACTTAAATGAATAATTTGGGCATCGCACCTCAGTAACTCAAAAGCGACTCAAGGCGACCTTTGTAACTTCGATCATCTATCAATGACTCTTTTTAAATGAATGTGCAAACAATAAAGGTAGACCCCCTGTAGACCATTGTTATTGCTTGTTTACCAAATGGCTTCAAATGTAAACAATAGACTAAGGTCTAAGTACAGTAACTTATATCTATCATTAGCTTTTAGTCTTCGTTAGTTTGAAACAAAAAAATATCGCTTTTTTATGTAGAATAAAATAAACTTGAATAAATGTATGTTTAAACCTAAAATAAAGTACTTATGTACATATGTATTAATATTTAAAAGTTTCATTTGCATTTTACCTGCCTCGTCTATGTATATAATTCCTAAACAAAGCTCATAAGTGAACCTCTGTAAGTACAATCATAAACCAATAAAACTCCTTAACTTCCCTTAAGCTTCGATAGAGAATATTCGCTGCGAGTGTATTCGCTGCGAATATTACTCGCAACGACAATTCGGTGCCTGCCTGTCACACACAGCGAGTACTACACGAGAATCATCTATAATATGTATCTTTTATATTCTTAAATTTTCTTTTCAATTGCTCTTAGGTTGTTATTTCGAATCCCAACTCAATTAATTCATGAAGCAATGAAGGCGCCTGCCTTTGCGTTTTTTTTAATTACTGTTATTTGTGTCAAACAGCTCCCCATTTTTTCTATACACACCCAAGAAACGAATTATATCGTGATTTCTCCATTTTAGAATGGAATCGTTTATCGGTTAATTCATTTGATTGACCTACACACACGTATCATGCAGCTACGAAACGACCTATGCACAGGCGTGTAGTCTAGAGCGGAATGGCTACTCACAGCGAGTACCCTGTCACACAAGGCGAATTCTCGCAGTGAATGCTCATTCGCAGAGAATAAATTTGAACATGTTCAATTGAATTCGCAGCGAATTCAATTTGCAGCGAATGAATCTAATCGCGGCGAATAGCCTGTCACACATAGCGAATTCTCGCTGCGAGCACCTAATCGCAGCGAGTATTCGCTATGTGTGACCTTAGCGAGGCTTTAGTAAGTAAAAACCTCAATAACTCAAATTATTTAACGTTTCTCTTGGTCTTTATCTTATCGAGGTTCTACTATAATTATCAACAAAAAAAAAACTTTTTCATTCATAGTAGTAAAAATCTACTGATGAATATAGAACTTCCCCATAGATATCTAGACAATAGATATCTGCCATTGTTGCCACGTTGGCAGACAGGTTATCAACCCTTGCTTTTTTGAGTTGTTATCAGGAACATGCTGCTGCTCGTCGTTTAGTGGCGGCAGAAGTCTACCCCATATCATCTCTTAGTAAGGTGTAACCTAGGAAAAAAACCTTATATGTATATAAAATTTGTGTCTCAAAACCATTAAATTAGATAAGTGCCCTTCACTGTCGTATATACTGCTTAATTTTATATTTTGTTTACGTAAGTTCGACATTTACAATTGACTTTGATTTGTACCATAAATCATCAATCCCCAAATACCCAAAGCTAAACAACGCCTTCAGGTAGAGTTGTTTTATAATTTGCCAAGTAACACTTTAGTCGATTGGACAGTTCTCATACGTTGTAGAGGCATTTTACAGCTATATTAGTAGTATAGTTGTAGCACAAATGGGTCGGCTCGACCGGGGAAGGACCACGCCCTCACAGAATACCAGCGTAAAATGGCAGCATGATACTGCTGTGTTTCGTATGGTGAGTGTAGAGAACCGAAGACCCATTTTACTGGAAAAGAGGCATTCCATCTTAGTCCTCACGGGTGACGACGCATCTGCATTTTGATTCTTTATTGAGGATAAATGTAGATGTCTATGGGTCACAGCACCCACTTACCATCAGGTGGACGGTGCGCTCGTTTGTCACCCTAGCCTATATACAAAAAAAAAAAATTAAGCTAACGCTAATATTTGTGTGCCAATACCAAGTGTTAATATTTTTATATAGGAAAACTGTGATCTCGACTAAAAAAATGGTCTGTATTACTACCGCGTGGAGACAGTGTCTACCGTGTATTGGTGATGTACGAATATCCACTTCTTGAAATCGTCCCGTGGGTGTCGTAAGAGGCGGCAGGCAGACTAGGAGATGGGCAGCAGCGTCGTCCTAATAGCAACTAGAATATTTAAAAAAAATGGCGATTGTTAACTTGCTAGCTAAGTGTTGCAAGTATGGCAAATATATCCCTTTTGAGATAGTCTATGGGGAGGCCCGTGTTCTACAGTGGAATATGATAGGCTGCAATAAAAATGGAAGGTGTGCCATTCTTAAAATGAAATTCCTGTTGTAAGTTTTACTCAATAACTATGTTTTAACAATCTGAGCTTTATGCTTTACCTTTAAAGAATAAAATACCATTACTGTTTAAATAAAAATCATTTAAGTATTACTGTGTTAATATTTTTTTAGATTTTCTAATTACTTGAAACGAATAAAATCGAAAGAACTAATCCCTAAAATATAGCCTCAGTAAAAGAGGTAAAATACACTCGCTGCCTCAATTATAGAGTAATTATGATGATAAAGAACTAATACCAGATATAGAGGTTTACTTTGCTCCACTAACAGAGGTAATTCAGTGTTAAAGTGTAGAGACCTAAGCATGAGTTCCAGCTATAGAGGTTTTTCACTTATCCAGGTTCCACTTAACCAAGTTTTACAGTAGGTATATAAAAAAGTTGTTACGTTTACAGGTCATGTCTAATTGAAGTTTTAGTCTCTGCCTACCTCTCAGCATGAAAGTTTATGGTATATTACGTTTAGTAACGTTTATATTCTAATATTTGGTTAAATTGGTTTTATTATTTCTTAATAAAATCGCAAGTGACCAAAATTAAAACGTATTATATTACACAAAAAAGCAACAAAGGATGACAGCAGCGAGCGCAGTGTAAGCAGTAACAGTTGTAAAGAAAGTGAGGCGCACAATTTCACTGAGGCACTGCAACAAGACTGACCCGGCTCCGATCATGCGCGACCCCGATACGTGAGCCGTTTATCCATCACACGCCAAGGTGGGGCATCGCTGAGTTCGTGCATTGCAGAGTATTTAAGATAATACGTTTTCTAACTTTATTCTGTTATATGTGGATAAATAATAATTAAAGTAAAGAAATAAATAAAATTAATAAATTAATTTTAAATGCCATTTCAACTTAAGATCTACCTTTTTGCTCCAAATATTAACCTACCTTACACGTGGGGCACTTTACTATTTAATGGTAATAATGTCCAATGGTTGACCGTATATTCATTCAAAAGTGTCTAACCTAAGTTCTAAAAATTAGTGATGGGGAGCAGCATTACCTGTTCTAGAGCATCGGCTCTGCGCTCAATCCTTTCAAGACTCTTGGCTAGCATCCGGCTCTGCGAACGAAATCTACATATTTGTTTAAATGCCTATCCAAGAAAGGGCAAGATGTGCTCAAGACCGGAATGCGTATCGTCAAATGATATAGGAATCGATTGTATTCGCTAACGCGAGTCGTGATTCTCAGCAGTGAGAAATTCATTAAAATGAAGAAAAAGTGAGCTAAACAAGTACACATTCGACATCACGGTAAATAGTGCCAGTGGCTATGATAGACGTCTATGTTTTGTTTAGAAACTTTTTTGGCTCTTTGACACGCCCTTTTCACGATTTATGGTATCGAGTTTATTTCGTCTTCTCCGACTGGGCCTGATGCGTCTCGTGTAACGTTGTGTTGGAATCACTTTGTGGAAGGTTCGACTCACAACTCGTCAGATATGATATGTCCAGCCCAGTTTAATTTTGATTTAAGATGTATTTAAAAGTACAGTTACAACATATAAACGTTTTATTTTACAGTTTGTACGAATATACTTGTTAATACAATGCGATTTATGGGCTTATCGAATTTAACATGTTTTGAAATATTACACATATGTCCAAATTAATTTAGAAGGACGCCCTAGATGGAAGTTCAGCCAAATTAGCGATATATTGAAGATGGACCAAATTAAGAGTACCCTAATCCACTATTATATATTCTGTATCAAAACAGACCGACTTGTTTGCGCAAATATATGGATGTGGAAGAACCCAAAGAGGTGTGTCAGGATCGTGCTGCATGGAAGCCCGTAGTATCTGCCTGTGTGATAGGCGTGAGAATTTATGTACTCGTATGTATGTTAAATAAGTGTTTAAAGTTGAAGGCAGAATTTGTAGTGATGCCGGTGTTGTAATGTCGGGTTGCTGGCTTACAACAAACACTTTAAAGCAATGATCATCTAAAGTGTAAATCAATATACTAAAATAGACTGAGTTCATATCTACAAATATTTAAAGTGATCACAAACTAGGTACCCTATATTGTAAAGATTGTCTGGCTTGATTATTAAAAAAAAAATTTTTGAATGTTCTAATGGTCGAAATTACTCGTAATAAGATTCGATGTCAAAATTATTCATGAATTCATCATATAAGCTACCGTTGAGTGAGTCACTACTTGTCAAGTATTGCCACAATGCGTCAGCGCCGTTGATGACGAGAGAAATTCTTGAGAAGCAATAATAAATAATTCTTATGCTTTGAGGCAGTCCAGTCATTGATCTTAGATAATTATATAGTGAGTGTTTATGACTAAGAAAAAAGTAGGTGGTTGTAACTATGAGTGTCAAAACTTGTGTATTTGGTAAACAAACAGTATTTTTTTCAAATAATTACCTATGTGTAGTGCCTATGTAGGATTAATGTATAGAGGTATAGATCTTTATTCTAAATAGATATTTACTTACTTAAGAAGCGACAGAGGGGAATGACATAGGAGATGCGCAGCAACAACTTTCTGATAACAACCCAAAATAGGTGAAAACTACAAGCAAATATGAAACAATCTGAGAATGAAGCCTATGTTCGGTAGTAGACTTTTAGATAGACCGGACTCAGTAGGTACAAATTTAAGATGAGTACTATACTAAGAAAACAATCGAAGTTTTATCGAGATAGGTTATAAAAAAGAAAACTATTTCTACTTACCATCGGAAGATGTAGTAACAACTTCAGGGGTTTTAGTTGTCGCATCTACTGTGCTTGAGCCCGTAACCAAAGTTGGGGATTCCGATGACGCTATCAACTCAGGCGTAGTCGTTGCCATTTCGGTAGTTGTCTCAAAGTTGGTGGTCAGTTTAACAGTATCGTTTTCCATTATTGCTTCTGTGGTTACAATCGCCTCTTTATCTGATTCAGGTCGTATAGTATCTTGGGATACCTCTGTTGTCATAATTATACCCTTCTCTGTTGACTTTTCTGTTACGGCTTCGGTCGAAGAAGTTGTTGTTGGTGAAGATTCAGAAACAGTTGTCTCAGTAACTTCTGGTACTTGTTCAGTTGGGAAAGCTGTGGTTTTTATTGTCGAAGTAGTCGTCGTTGTTTTAGTACTAGGAATTGTAATGGTTGAAGTAGAGACTTCTTCAGTTTTAGAAACAGTCGTGTTAATATAAGTTATGGCAGGCGCAGAAGGTCTAGTAAAAATTGGCCGTGTACTGGTTGATTGAGGTAATATAGTTATATTTAATCTCGGTGGTGACGGTAAAGGTTTTTTAGTTGAATGCCTTTTTGGTGGCGTTTTATATGGAGGTTTTCTGGTTGTGTTAAAAACTGATAGAGGTTTTGTTGGTCTTGGCTTTCCATTTTGACTGTATTGAGGTTTTGTAAAATTAGTTGTTGGTCGATATGTTGGCCTTGGCTTATATGTGGGTTTTATAGGTTTTCTAGACACATAAGGCTTCGTGCTAGCTATTGTAGTGGTTGACGTAATTGGTTTAGAGGTTGTTTGTGTGGTCGAAACAAAAGTGTCTGCTTCATTATCCTTTATTTTTTCTGTTTCTATATTACCAATACCTCCAGATACTGTCTGGAACGTTGAAAATTTCATGGGTATTTCTGTGATCGTTACATCAGAAGTCTGTGATATTATCTTTGTAGTTTGCTTTTGAGCCAAATTTGCTGTAACTGTTGTGGGTAATTTAACACCTTCGTTTTCAATTTTGTTATCGAGAGTTGTTTGTTCATCTGACTTTGTCTCTAATATATCCGCTTCAGATACATGCGATTCTGTACTATATTCTGTAACTTTTTCCGTAGATGGCTTTTTCGCTATATCTTCTTTTTCTTTGTTACTTGGAATTTTATTTACAAAGCTTTGATCTTTATCTTCGGTCTGCGGATGAACGAAATTCGCACCATCTATTGAGTTATCATCAATATTGTTTTCAACTACCTGTGGAATCACAGTTTTATCAGGAACTTGGCAACATGAACCAAAATAGAATCGATCAATGCATGTTCCTAAATGAGTGCCGTTTGCTTTGAGGCAGTCTATGGCAAACATACACATTCCTTCTTGGCCTGATCGTCTTGATATGCATGGCAAGTGTCTTATATTTCTAGCTAGAGGCACTGGACCTGAAACAAGAACAAAAAAATGCGTTAAAGAGATATTTCATAGTATGACTTTTGTTTTGGTTATTATGGCAATAATTTCGAACTTTTTGTTTGTCATTTTTGCTTCAGTCATAGAAAAATCAGCTAGCCAATGTGTTTTTTGTATTAAACAATGTTATACAAGGCTAACCCTTTTTCAAAAGTTTATATTTAAAGAATAATTTAAACTTGTTAATTAAAAGAACCTGTAAGCTTCTTCAATATTAGTTAAAGCGACCTGAATTTTGAAGTAGGTTAGGTATTGCAGAAGAGAGCAGAGATATTACATTTTTTTTGCTTTCTTTATGTAAATTGTAAAATATTATATGATGATTATACTACAAAAACACAATCTAGTTGCTTTATCATTATTGTGACTTCCATGTTTGTCACGTTTTTAAGATGTATTAACCTATCATGTACAACTACATGCTAGCTAATTTTTGTTTGTTTAAATTGATTAATTATAATGCATTTAAAATTTCAAATATTACGATTATGTACTAACGCTATTACAAGGGTAAATCAATATTATGTGGCTTCAAAATATTTTTTGCACAGCTGCCATCTATCGAAATTAATTAAAATTATTAAACGAGGCACTAAACGTGACTTTTAAAACAATAATTCAATGATGATAACTGAATTAACCGCTAGATGTCACTAGCATTTCTTATTTACATTTTATATACATCGTTGGAACATAAGCAGATAGCAAAAATTTGCAATTGGTAAAATTTATTAAGCCAATGTACTCTAGACCGAATTATGGTCACGGTGGCCAGTCCCAACGGAGACTAGACATCTGCGTAAGACCGGATTATAGTGCACGAGTGTCTGCGCACAAGTGCACTCTACATTCCCTCACTCCCATAGTCCGGTGGGATAACAATCCTTTACGTTTGGAAAGAAATCAGGTTCAGAACAGGTGCTTTACGTGCTTTCGAGACTCGGGCCTGCTACTGAGAATTTCTTGACAGTGAAACCCATTAACAGATTTTGGCCCGACCGGGGACTCGAACCCAGGACCTCATGATCAGAAGTCGCGCTACGACCACTAACCAACGAGACAATCAAACACATTTATCAAGCTACGTAACCTCTAAGTAGAAGAGATCTTTGTCCAGCAATGGACTCCATAGAATGACGTATTTATTTTTGAAAAGGCTTGGTTACACTAAAATTTGTATAATAATATTCTTTGTTTATAAACGATATAAATTTCTAATTAGTTACGTTTGTATATTAAGCAAAATTAATACTTAAACAAATAAATTAGTTCAATTTAACAATCACTGTACAAAAGAGTTCAACGCTGTTATTTTTAACACGATCATTTCAATATAAAATTTCAGGAACTAATACTATATACGTTACATATAATCAATCAATCATAGGTATATAAATACTTAGTGCATTAGTTAATAAATATGGAATATGAAATGGAAGCTAAAGTAGGAAATAAAGTGGTGGAAATAGTTATTTCCTTACTATAAGCAGTATTTTTTGTAATAAATGAAGGTATGCGAATATCACGGCTTTAATTTGCAAATTAGAAATCGACCAAATTTTGTTCCGTTTGACGTTAAAGTAACATTTTACCGTTAGAACTTGATTCGCAAAGCCAAGGTGAATATTCTGACATATTAACCTAGATATTTACGATTTTATCAGAACGAGTAGCTGGACCACGGAATGTTGATAAAAAACTTAGAACTATACGAATGTTTTATTTGATAATTTTAAGACCTATTATGAGACACAAGAACAGAGGCAAGAATTTCAGAACGTATGAATATATTATAAATATATAAAGTACATAAAAAATATTAAAAATTGTGCGTGTCAGCCTCAAGATGTGACTGAAGTTTACTCGCGAAAAACGATTGTCTTAAAATATATACAATAGGAAGTAAATGAACTCATATATTTATTTATATTGATATGATAAAATATATTACATAAAAATGTATGACTTATATTATATTGTTCATTTCGCACAATGAGATACGTGAGTATGTCGCGCGAAGAAAAACCATAAAGGCTTCACTTTTTGTTAATGCTTGATTTTACTATCATCTATTTTCATACCGTCCAATAAACTCCAAAAATTGATTATTCATGTATACGGATAGAGACGAAAATAAAGATAAATTAAGAAATCATTAAACAGATTGTAATATTTTTCTTCGACATTTTATCGTGATTGTTCAACGTCCGACATGAATAAAATAATGAGGTGAAATATCACAGACACTACCATTATCATTACTTATGACGAGAACCTCGTGAAAGCCGAAACAGATAAGCAGACAAAATATCTGGACCTGGTTCAGGAGGTGACTGACGTTTGAGGTGGTCTGCCGACCGAAATTATTCCTGTGGTCGTTTCTGCGAACGGGCTAATCCCAGTCAGCCTCTCGGGTCATCTGAGGCGACTGGGACTCCGTGACGGACCGCTCCGGACTCAGATTCAGAAGGCGATGCTCATCGATACCGCATGCATCGTCCGTCAGTTTATTCCCCTTTCTTCCTAACTCTCGGCCGTTTAGTCTCCCCTACCGAGGGCTTCTATCTGGTTACATTTTTATTTATTTATGTACTTTTATGTATTTGTTATATTTTATTGATATTTCTGATACCCCACATAATAATAACTGACTGTACAGTTAGAGATTTCCTCGGGCAATGTATGGGGCAGTGGAGTGCGATCCTTTGTCATCTAGATGAGCGAATGACGGCTGTTGAAAGCCGCATAAGGATAAGAAGGGGTATATTCCAGGGCAATTCTTTGAGTTCAATCTGGTTTTGCCTCTCTCTGAACCCTCTCAGTACCTTATTGGAGGGATCCGGGAGGGTATTTCCGCTTCGGTAAGTTGGGACAAAAGTGACCCACCTTTTCTATATGGATGATTTCAAGTTATTCGCGTCCAGTCGCTCCCATCTTATGCAATTGCTATACATCACTTGTGATTTTAGCAATTCTATTAGAATGGAGTTGGGGACAGATAAGTGTGCGATCTTCCATGTCGAAAGGGGAAGAGTTGCTAACACTGAGGGCATAGACTTATCTATGCCCGTCAACATAAGGACCCTTTCCGAGGCTGAAACATACCGATACCTGGGTATGTCATAAAATATAGGTATTGATGAGGTGGACATGAAACAATCAGCGATCTGTTTTATGCACGCTTAACCAAGGTGCTTAACATCCTTTTGTCGGGTGTAAATAGGACATACGCATATATCGGTTGGGTCATGCCTGTCCTCATGTATACCTTTGACATACTCAGGTGGACTCAAACTGAACTTAATGCCCTGGATAGAAATGCCCGCATTACCATGACGTCCCATAGGATGCACCATCCGAGATCGTTGATAATTAGGCTGTACTTGCCGCGGAAACATGGTGGGCGTGGCTTTTTAAGCGTACTCACCATGCATTATCGCGAAGTGTGCAGCCTCCGTAATTACATCCTGGCGAGATCGGATGATTCATTCTATAAGGACGACATTTCTTGTGATAAAGGGCTTACCCCTCTACCCTTAGCCGACGAGCAATGGCAAGACACGGCAGTACAGAGCATTTGCGACCGGAAGACCATATGCAAGGAGAAGGAGCTCCTTGAGAGGTTCTATAAGGCTCTGCATGAGCCCTTCGTAGATACAGTCGCCTCTCTCCACTGGATACGTTTCGGTGACTTCTTTGGGGGAGAGTTTTGTCTGAGCGATACAGGATCAGGTTATTAAGACCAACAACTATCGGAGATACATCATAAAAAATGGGGCCGTCGACATCTGTCGAACTTGTCGCCATCCTAGTGAGTCACTTAGGCATGTCATCTCCGGATGTTCGGCGCTTTTTAACTCTGGGTATTTGCATAGACACAACACAACCCAGTAGCCGGGATTCTACACCAGGAGCTCGCTCTGAAATGTGGTTTGGTGGATTGGAAATGCATTATTATCAGTACTTTCCGGAACTCGTTCCCGAAAATGACTGCGCCAGGCTCTGCTGGGACCGGACCATCATCACAGACAGGACTATTCTTGCGAATAAGCCTGATATTGTGCTGATAGACCGGGCACAGACAAGGATATTTTGATCGACATTACCATACTGTATGATGAGAACGGATTGCTCCGGGTTCAAATACAGAAGGCGGTGCTCCTCGATACTTGATATAATTTTCATTTATATATTTATACAGCCCAACCAGATGAGAAAACTATATAAATACCCCAAAATACACAATATAATAAAATACAAGGGAATTTTAAAAATCGTTCATCTTTATATATAAAAATTACGTGTCACATTGTTTGTCCGTGATGAACTCCTAAACTATTGAACTGATTTCAATGAAATTTTGCACACTGTGTAGTTTGGTCCAACTTGAGAAATAGGATACTTTTTATTCCAATAAGTGACCTTTATATATATATATATATAGTATATTATACTACTATTATTTTGATTCTAGACCAAATCTATTTTAATAAAGCTTGCTGTTACTAAGGAAAATAAATATAAAATTGCCTAGCTAAAACTCTAAGTCTGTGGTATAAAACATAAGTATTCACACCGAACGATCAACTTTTTTGTAATGTATCATAATTTATATAACATTTTATGCATCATTATCAAAGTAATTTCAGCGAGGTGCGGCAGCGACATTGTGTGGGAGTAAATTAGCTTCGGTGAGAAATCCTCATACCATATGATACATTGTGACCTACTTTAATCCTCCGGCGCTAAAGAAAGGAAGTGAAAGTGCGGACCAAACATGTGGATACTTCTTCGAAATTTTGATGTGCCTGCCTCTTCTGAACAAGTGTGCGCTTAATTTTACAAACACTTGTATATATAACATGTATTTCACATACAATGAATGCAACAAATAGAAAATATGTAGTATATGTTGTTATCCTTAGTATCTTCAGAAATAATCAATCAATTTTATTTTAAAAGACAATCTTTAAATAAAATTTATTAAGATATAAGTACAGTGAATAATAATATAATATCAATTTCATCATTCGGCTGGTCGTTGCTGCTGGTGATAAGAGGGCTGGTTCTTTTCTCGCTCAAAGGCTATGTATAGCCATTCAGCGGGGAAACGCAGTCAACGTTCTTGGCACGATCGCGGGGAGTAGGACTATATGATAATTAAGTTTCTAGTTTTAGTTTTTTTATTATTCTAGCTTTCATTTAGTATTTGTAAATAAATTTAATCTAAATCTAGCCCTAAGTCCTATGGACTTGTAAAAGCATAACACCTGTAAAACGCTACCAGCACAAATATCATCGAAAACAACGTTAAAGTTATAAATACTTTTTAGGTATTTTTTATTTTATTGGCATATAGAAAATGAATTAATCCTGGGAAGGTTCTCTTTAATCTATATTTCTTGCTGGTGTACACTAATTACCTTCCACTGTTTACAGTAATACGAGTAGCTACCATTGTTACAATATTAAAGAGTTTTGTCAGTCGTATTTCCCAAAAAGTTACAAAATATTTAACGCTTTCGCTTTCGGTTCTTCTGCTTTATGTATTTTAATATCCTTATTTAAAAAGAAAAAATATGAGCCATTTTTCTAAACAGATTATGTTATTAAAATAGAAAAAAGTAAATATATCCCTAAAATAGAAAAAAAGAAAAATGAACAAATAAATGCAAAATTCAAATAAAAAATTCTAGAAATTAATATGATAATAGGTATTACAGTAAGTGAAATTAAAAATATCACTTGATATTCCTTGCATTATAACGCAAAATGGAGCCTGCGTACAGATTATCCCATAGATTACTGTATATGTATATACTACAGAGATAACCCGTAAGTTGAAGGTAATTGCGTTTACATTGATTGTAACAAAAGTGTCCAAAATAGAACATTCAAGGGTGTCTGGGATACCTTTGCTATACCTCAGTAATAATAGAACAGAAATAATGAAATCTAGTTTTAGTAAAAGTACGGTTAAACCGTAAAGTGATCCACGGAGGTCACGTCTCACCTTGAACGTTGTGGAAAATAGCAGTTGTAGCTGTGTCGCTTAAAATCACAATTTTTTCGTATTTATTTATCTATTTGCCTTATCTTTGAAGCATACGCTATTAGCTTATTTATATGTTACGCTGACAGATTTTATTATTATCTTTTTTAATTTTCTTAGAAAAATCTCGAACTAATAAAAAAAAAAACAAATGGTAATGTTTTAGTTACGTATAGTTTACCATTTGAACAGATAATGAAATATTCGTATGTAATAAATTATTAGAACGACTAGAAATAAAAAATAAATAAAAATTACCTTGTAAATAATCCAGACCAAGTATCACTGGACCGGCTTGTACCGAGTGCAAATTAAAAAACACTTGGAAAAATATTAAAACAACCGTAAAATTTAAACATATTACACGAAAATTATTAACGAGATTAAATATTGAACACTTTCTGTAAATGTTACTATCACTGAACACTTTTCCAGCACTGTCTTCCTCCTCCTCTTCTCTCTCCCTTTTTATTCTGGGATGGCTGTAAGGCCATGTGGTCAACGGTGGACCCATATTTAACTGTGTTACTATCTACTGCTTTTGATTTTCGACTTCTTTGTGCTATGACTGAAATAGCATCTTTTGTTGTTAGTAGAAACTTGATGGCAGTATTATCTGAAACAAGATGAAAAATAGTTTTATGTCTAATAATTATAACATATTACAATTGAGATAATAATTAATAACAAATTTAAAAAAAATGTATAATTAAATAAAAATGTTCATTTATATATTTATTCATGTGTTTAAAATTGTATACGTTTATCCTTTTAAATAACAATCTTAGCAGTTGTTAATAATGGTATATAATTATCAAAAACTAGTAATATATAATTAATGTTGAGTCATGTTGTCAATTATGAAGAATTTTTTGTAAGAAAAGTACTGGTAGTTGTCCCATCACGGTTGTTTAAACGAAGCTATCCGAAAAGCTCTTGTCTCTATAAATGTCTTCTCAGTTTTAGAGCCGTGTGGAATATTTAGAGACTATGGCAGGAGATTTTGGTTCCTTGGAATAGGGGTAAAGCCCTAGTGTGGGATGCTGCGTGCGTTAGACACTTTATCAACCACTCATCTCAAATGTGTCTCGCTTAGAACCGGGGCGGTATCAAAGGCGACTGAACTGTGTAAGTGGCGTAAGTATGAGTCTCTGAGAGATGACTGCTTATTTGTGCTATTTGCTGTAGACTATCGGTCCGTGGGGTCCACGTGCGGTAAAGTTTTTTTTTATAGGATATGGGTGACAACCAAGCACACAGTCCACCTAATGGTAAGTGGCCCATAGACATCTACATCTATCCCCGTTTGCGAATAAAATGCAGATGCGTTGTGAGCCGTAAGGACTAAGATGGAATGCCTCTTTTCCAGTAAAAAGGGTCTCCGGTTCTCTACACTCACTAAAAGAAACACAGCAGCGTTAAGCTGCTGGTATTCTGTGAGAGCTTGGTCCTTCCACGGTCGAGCCGACCCATTTGTGCTACAATTGCACAGATATATGTAGATGTAGCATTCCTCTACAACGTATAAAGTTCCTAAAGATACTTTATCCGCGACTTTCGCACTATTGGTATGAGAGTTGAAGTATAGCCATTCAGCGAGGTAACGCAGCCCGCGTTTTTGGCACGATATCTCGTGGAATAGTACTGTATGATAATTTATGCTTTTAGTTTTTTTTATTAGGGTAATACATTTTGTATATTTTATTCTTTAGTCAATAATTGATAATAATACTTTTTCTGTTCGTAGAAGACTGAATTGTCTAGTTAGAATTTGCTAACTTGGCTAACGTTACTCAGTTACAATACAAACATTACTGAGATTTCTCGCAGAAATCTAAATATGGGTACACAAGTTATATTATAATCTGTAAAGTATTTCCTTAGATATATTGAATTACTCTTAATGTTTGTGAGCCTATGTGATAAAGGTAATTGTACCTTATGCGGAAGATATTAATTACACCAGGTACCTCTTTGTGATATAATCCAGTTAAGGGCAGCTATGAACTAAAATAGTTTACGTTACACAAAGAGTTAGTCATTTCTTAAGTATTTTTTTGTATTTTTTCATATTTTGTCTCGTCATAAATTTTTTTTTATAGTATCGGGTGACAAACGAGCACACAGTCCACCTGATGGTAAGTGGTTACTGTGACCCATAGACATCTACATCTATCCTCAATAAAGACTCAAGATGCAGATGCGTTGTCACCCGTGAGGACTAAGATGGAATGCCTCTTTGCCAGTAAAAAGGGTCTCCGGTTCTCTACACTCACCATACGAAGCACAGCAGCGTTAAGCTGCTATTTTACGCTGGTTTTCTGTGAGAGCGTGGTCCTTCCCCGGTCGAGCCGACCCATTCGTGCTACAACCATAATATAGCAAAAATTAGTATACACACGTATTTCATATTTTATGACACTCTTGATATAGTATTATAGCTTTATAAAAGTGAACTCGAAAGCGAAATCTTTATTAAATTTAAGAGGAATACTCATTATATTAAGTAATTAAGTTATTTTAAACCCTTGTAGTAATTATCAGGATTTGTATGAAAGTAATGTTTGTCTGTTTATAAATTTAACAATTTGTAAGTGAGTTGGTAACATTAAAACTGGTATCTCGGAAGGAGTAGGCGCTAGGGCGAGTTAGTTAGCTTTAAACTATCTTGAATTAAGGAAGTATCCAGTGACCAGTATGTACAGTTAAATAGATCTTGCACAGCCGGCTGAGCCTGTTTGTTAGTTAGCAACATTCAGTTGACTCTAGTATAAGGTTACATAGGGTTATTTGTTCAACTTGATTTATACCATTTGTACCACTCATTTCTGATAGGGTTAGGAGCAATAAGCATGTTAGCGGACTTCAAATATGCTCGAAATATTTTATTCTTCAAATATGCAGGTTCCTTCTCGATGTTCACATTCACCACCAAACTCGGTATCAATCGGCACGTAAATTGCAATCAAGAATTTCATTGGCGCCAGCGTAGACTGAATGCACTTTGCTTGCGTACTTGCTGTAATATTTGCGACGTGCTACTAACTACTAGCTATTTTCTTAAAATATTGAAGCATTTTATAACATATTAGTACATTTTATTGAATCCCGGAATCTCAGGGTCGGGATGCTAGCCTAAAAAACGTAAAACTCAAACAATAAGTGTTCGTCTTCGTTCCCGCTCTTTTTTTATAGGATACGGTGACAAACGAGCACACAGTCCACCTGATGGTAAGTGGTTACTGTGAACCATAGACATCTATATCTATCCTCAATAAAAACTCAAGATGCAGATGCGTTGTCACCCGTGAGGACTAAGATGGAATGCCTCTTTGCCAGTAAAAAGGGTCTCCGGTTCTCTACACTCACCATACGAAACACAACAGTATTAAGCTGCTATTTTACGCTGGTATTCTGTGTGAGCGTGCTCCTTCTCCGGTCGAGCCGACCCATTCATGCTACAACTATACTAATATAGCTGCAGCATGGCTTTACCACGTTAAGCATGGCTCTACCTCGATCCCGTTCTATCCCCGACAAATATACAAATTTATTAGACTATTAAGGAACCGAAACGTCGGGAATATAAAATAAGTAATTAAACGCGATAAAATCCGTAAAAGTAGTTTCATTCAATGTGTAGTGTTCGCGTAAATATAAGAAATCATTAGACTATCAGTGATTAAGGAACTGCATGTTTGTATCCTAAAATATTAAATTATTTTAAAGATATGTACCAACTCGCACTGGGGTTGCGCGTCGAATCACTTCCTCTACTAAAAGCAGTTACCACACTATTTATACTTTTTATACCTTTTAACGCGAGGAAGTTTCTGTAACTTTTTGTGGTAAGTGCAATTTTAGAAGTGTAAATTTTAATAAATATTTAAGGTTCCTACAGTACGAGTCTACTGTTTTATTAGAAATTCTTTGTGTTGTTATTCAAAAGATGTATTTATGAGTTTTTACGTTTGTACGATCATACGTTAGTAAACTTTTTGCCTTGCATATCAAGTTAACAAAGAACAATATTTAATTCAAACATGTTTTATTCGTCACCTAACTGCATTAATTCATTAATTCATTACAACCTATCAAATGTCCACCCGCTGAACATAGGCTTCCCCCAATAGATTGCATCAGGGGGTTTTTAGCCGTGTACTGGTGTCATAAGAATATCCACTATCCCATATCATACCGTAGGAATACCTATATTGTAACAGGTGACAGATGGAAACAGAAACAGAAACAGAAACAGAAACAGAAACTTTTTTATTCAATATAGATTATAAATAATACTTATTGAAAGTCACTCTTTTGTTTGATGAACGAAACTAAAGATAGACAGCATTGTCACTTAATAACAAAATAGTAAAAAAATACGGTTGTCAACTTCCCTGCCAATCGGGACAAATATAAAAAAATATTCCCTTAATTGCATAATGGATATCTTCTAGCTAGGATTTTATATTATAGCAGTTTCTAAAAAAAACAATTAATCATCAAATAGAAAGTAGACAGTAAGGGTAGATTGAATCGCACCTATACCTAATTGATATTCTTAATTTAATTGCATTATATTCGTATTCATATATTTAAAGGTTAACTTCTTCAACGAATACTTGTAACTTTCAATTAATTAAGAAGGGTCCGTATACAGTAGACAGTAATTAATTAACAGATACAGGCGCAACGGGGTCACGCGATGCGCGGCGTGAGGCAGCTATTGGCGCCAGTTCTAACGGTCTCATCATTTTCCTAGCGGGACGGCAAAGCATCGCCGTCATCTTTAGGTACACAGCACGCGATTACACCAGCTACCAGCTGATTTTTTTTTTAGATTTGATTGGACAGTGGTGAATAGTTATAAAGCGGAAACGAATGTGGAACGTGGTACATTTTAATATAATCTTTACGATAATTTGATGCGGTATTTTCGCAATATTTAAAATAACACCAAAAACGACAAGGGTCAGAATTAAAAATCTACTAAAGCCTGGTTTCTAGATTTAAAAATATTATATTTTCCTCTTCCACCATTTTCCTCGCCACGGTGCGAAGAAAAAAAAACAAATAAGTTATATTTTAAAATTACTAAATCAAATAATAGACACAATAATCAGACGTTACTATGCGTAAATTCATTAAGGATGTTAAAAATTAACTAACTAAGATCCGCGTAATAAAATATAATTATGTGTATGTGTTATGTTTCTTTTAAAATAAATTAATTAATTTGAAAATTACTTTCCCATATAATCGTATTTCATGCCTTTATCATTTTTTTATCTTAGTTTTGTCGGAGTCTATTCAAAAGATATATATATATATATATATATATATATATATATATATATATATATATATATATATACACTAGAGATATAGAATAAGAGTGACAAACGAGCACACAATTCACATGAGGGTAAATAGATGCTGTGGCCCATAGACATCTACATTCATTCTCAATTAAGAATCAAAATGCAGATGCGTTGTTATCCCTGAGGGCTACGA